CCTCAGTCTACCCCCACCCAACCTACCTTGTCAAGCTCTAGCCTTTTCCGTCACCCTCAGAAAATCGACCCATCGGCTAAGACCCATGATATCTCCATTGAACCAGTTTTTCCTGCTTATGGAAGCAAACAGTATTAAAGCATAGGAATACTATCAGTGGTTTCTAAACAACAATGCAATGATCTGTGTGCCCCTCCCCAGAGATGAAGAGACATTTTTCACGCAAGTCAACTGCCACAAGCAAGATCATAAAATGATTCCAAATTTTCTGCTTGCAATTATTCTTTGTTTGGCAATTATGTTTTCTTTTTTAATATTTTCATTTAAAGCTATGAATAGTTGTGGGTCCTAAGGAACAATTGGGTGCCACAAAGTACCCATCTTTTCTGCACTCAAGGAAGCGATACAAGGAGTTGGACCTTTTATATAAAAAAAAAGTGCCATGGTTTTGCTCAGGCTGGCTCAGCCCCATTGCAAGCAAAGTCCTCCTCATCGGTACCTAATGTATTTGGAACTAGACAGCCAGGATTACTTGGACACTTGAGGGATCCCCTTCTCATCAGCCACCCGAGGCAGAGGGCAGGAGCTGTGCAAGTATATCCTGGCTATTTCTGGGTCTTGCATTCGATTGGGAATACAAGATTAAGGAAACTATGTAGCCTGTCTCTCTTTCTTGCTGACTTGCAATTTCTATCTTATTGAAATAGGAAATTTACTGCAATGTCGCCTTGCCCCTTGAGAGGAGGTGTTCCTAATTTTGGCAGGCCATGAAAAATGTCCTATTGGAAACTGCAACTCAACAAATAAGACACTTTCATTTAATGGTCTGTACACAAACATTTATAGAGTCCCTTTTAAGGTCCTATATTCCTTCCCAAAGCACCTTCTTAATTTCCCATTTCTGTTAATGGCACCATCCTTTGTCCTGTTCCTTGGGTGAAATGAAACAATAGCATATTCTAAAATGCAAAATTCCAGGGAAGGAATCTTAAGAAAACCAATGGGTGGATTTATAGTATGAGATTTATCTGCCTCTTTTTTTTTCTTGGTCAAATCACCAATTATTAGTTTTCTTTTTTTTCTTCCCCTCTCCTTTCATTTCCCTTCTTTTTCCCCTTTCCCTTACTTTTCTCTCCTATTCGTATGTTCTTTGCAAAAGGTGGAGAGCTCACTTAGAGATTCATCTCTGAAATGGATTTCTATGGAATGGTACTAAGAAGCTCTGGTTTTGCTTATTATTCGCACAGAATTAAGGTCTTATACATACCCTCTTTATGTGTGGCCATTCAGCACAAAAGGAAGCTGGCACTTCTCTTTCCTTTTACTTGTTAATTTGTCTGGCCTGCTGATGTGCATGCAGTTTCCACTGGGCGTGTTTGGGTGCTAACGCATTAGGGCCTCTACCTTCTGAGTTCCTTCTAGGCCAGCGGTTCTCAACCCTCCTAATGCCACGGCCCCTTAATACAGTTCCTCATGTTGTGGTGACCCCCAAACATAAAATTATTTTCGTTGCTACTCTACAACTGTCATTTTGCTACTGTTATGAATCATAATGTAAATATCTTTTTGTTTTCCAATGGTCTTAGGTGACCCCTGTGAAAGGGTCATTCGACCCCCGAAGGGGTCGCGACCCACAGGTTGAGAACCGCTGCACTAGGCAGTTGATACCCTCATGGACTTAGGAGCTCTAGGGGTGGAGCAGCCCTGGGCTAGCCTCTCATGAACAACAAAAAAGTCTTGGTAAGCAACTTAAGAATACTGTGCAAGGGCAAAAATCAATGTAAAAACTGCCAGAATTCTCTTTCTCTAATAAATTGACCTTTGCTATTGCCAGGTTCCCATGCATCTTTGTCAAATAGACACACATAGTTTTAATGTGGTTGTGATCAATGTGTGGCTACATTGTTACATTCCTCTTTTATTCTAGCTATTGTAAACACTTATCCATATTGCCACGCCATTTTATTTTTATAAAAATCATTGAGCACCTATGTATTTCTGATAGCAATTATTGAGCAGCTACTGTGTTAGAAAAGAGGATGAGACAGCATTTAGGATACATAGCTGGACTCAGACCAGAGTTGAATTCTTGGCTATGCCCTTTGCTGACTTTGTGTCTTAGGCAAATGACTTAACTTCTTTGAGCCTCGGTTTCCTCGTATTTTACATTGAGACTAATTAACAACATACTTTATTAGAATTATAAAAATTTAATGACATATGGAGATAAACTGCAAAATTCCTAGCACAGTGCTTGGCATATGCTAAGCATTAAGTTGATGCTGGTGAACATGATGCTGATATATTTGGTTATGATGATGTGCCCATGACCTCAAGGGTTTTAATAGAGAGAGACATATATAAAAACACATGCAATAAGGAATGGCAAGCCATGATAAACATCTATACCAGGTTCATTGGAGGCCTCTTGGAAAGTTTGGCTGATTCCATGTGGCAATGGAGGTACAGAAAATCAAAAAGATCTTTACAAAGAGGCAGTAAGTAAGCTCAGTCTTGAAGCAAACTGACACTTACTGTGCTGATACAGCCCCAGTAATTCCAAAGATGCATGAGCAAAGTCCAGCTCACCTTTTGAGCTGGGGTTGTGAAGGATGGTAAGGATTTTACTACGTGGAGGTGAAGGAAGGATGTTTGTTCCAGGTAGAGGCTCCCGCATAAGCAGACACTGGGTTATGGATGTTTATTCAGGAAATGAATGTGCCTGTGTTGTGTTTAGTAGGAATGGAGGCCACTAGTAGGAGGTGGGGCCTTTGCAAGAAAGGAGGCTGGAGGGGCAAGTGCAGTACATCTCTCAGGGCCCCAGGGGCCTAAGAGCTTGGACCTTCATCAGGCAGGTGATGGGAGTGCCACACTCCCACAACCCATCTGTTGGCAGTGTAGAGCCCGGGCTGGAGAGGGCAAAGCTGGAGCGGAGCAACTAATCAATTGCCTTGGTCCAGACCAGAGGGGGCGGAACCTGAGCTAACACTCTATAATATTCCACCATGTTTATTGTCCACGTAACATCAACATCCTCTTGTTCACGGGCACTTACATTAACTTGAAACATTTGCTGTTCTGAATATTGGTTTGGTTTGCATCTTTATATATCTAAAGATATTTCTTTCAGATATTTTCTTTAAGATAAAGGGCATAAACATTTTCATGACTCTTGAAAATTATAGGTTATTTTGTTTCAAATGGATTTTCCAAATGATATTTTCTCCAGGGTCCATTTGTATATGGGTTTCACAGCATCATTGGTAACTGGGCGCTGCCATTCTGTTCTTTGTTGTTTTAGAGAGCACGAAACTGTTGTTTTAATTTGCCTTTCCTTGATATCTACAGAAATAAAGTGTTTTCCCCATTTGTCTTCTAATTGTGTGTCTTCACTTATGATTGCATGCCCTGTCCTTTGCCCATTTGATAAGCAATTGTGTTAAATCCTTTTTTGGCTGGCCTCTCTTCTGGAAACTCTCCACACACACACACACACGTTTCCCCACAGGCTCTCTTTCTAATTTCTTTTCTCTTTGATCTATTGAAACCAAATCCTTTTTCTAACTCAATATTACAATAGACATAACAATTCTAATTGCTCTATTGATTCATGGCCACTGCAGCCACGGGCACATTAGGAAGAACACGTCTCTGCTATCAGGGACCCGGGAGTAAAAGCCTGACTTCACGAGTCTAGCTGTGTGCTGCGGTGTAAGCATCTTAATCTCTCTGAACTGGTTTGCTTACCTGTGAAATGACCTCAGTAGTATATGTCAGGATCCATAAAAAATGGTATTTGGCCATCGGTAGCAGAGACCCAAGTACAGTGGCTTGAAAAAATTCGTAGTCCATCCTCCCATGTTAAATGATTTTGGAGGGGATATTGCAGTTCCATGAGATCCTTTTCCTGCTCATAGTGTGGCTGTGAGATTAGGGCTGGGCAGCCTTATTCCTTAAAGGTCAGGAAGACAGTTGGGTAGTGTTGGAAAGTGGCAACACTTACTGAAGAAAAAATGAAGTACCTATTCTATGCAGAGCTCCAAGGTGTTCTCTAGTGGGAAATCTACGTGCTAAGTTAAATAAGATCTTGGTTCTTACATTGATATCTGAATCATGGACAATGGTTACCTCCTTCTTTAGGATGACCCAGACTTGGAATCTCTGGGCTCCAAGGTGACTGACTCCGTGGTGCTCTACCTCAAGTATCCTTACAATAATCTCCCAGCCCAGAAAAGTCATCCCTGTAAATTAACTAAATGCAGGATCATAAATAGGTATTTGGGGTTATTCACAGGAAGAGTCCACGTCCTCAATCCCAGATCAAGTCAGTGATGGATGTCTGCTTTCGGGATGTGTACATTCTGGTCTGTTGGTTGGAAGATCAGCCTCATGATTTTATTAGTCACGTTGTTGACCCAGTTGCTTCTGGAGTATCACAAGACCATGTCACAGCCAGAGGGTCTCACCGGTCCCTTGCCAGCTTAGAGAACATGGACTCTTATGGTTCCCTTGATATGGTTTATTATTATTATTGTTATTATTATTACTATCATTACCCATAGAATCATAATTCTGCTTCTGTCAAAATGTGTTCATTACAAGTGACATTTCTGTTCAGATCTCATAGTTCATGCCTGAAAGCAAATATATTAGGATTAATGAGCATTTTTGCTGATGAGAAGAAAAAGCACTGAAGGGTGATTGGACTTTAGCCTTTTAATGGGTCTGATATTCTTCTTTCATCAGAGTTGACAAGGGCATATCTGGTTCACTTATGCTCTGTGTCATGGTTTAAAAATATGCTTGATGTGACACGAGGCTAGCTTTTCATTCACAATAAAGTAACCCAGTAATCATGAGTGCATGTCAGCAGAGCTCCATTGAATGGGACGTCTGGGCAGAGGGAATGTGACAATGTCAACCTGGTTAGCAGGTGGTGGAAGGGCTTTGATTGGTTTATTAAAATGTTAGTGTAATTTGATTCCATTTTTTTTATGCAGTTGACAGGAGGGACTTACAAAGAGCAGCCCACTCAGAGACCCAGGTGCCAGCTCTGAAAGAACTGCAGATGAACCCAGAAGACAACCATGGCCATGCAGGTAAGCAGGGCATATACGCTTTGACACTTTTTGCTCACAGTTCAAATGGAATTAGATGTGCACTGGAACATACTGGAACAGGGGTCAAGTGTTGACTCAAAGGGAACATAATTAGAGGACCTCAGGGCCTTGGGAGCTTGGGCAATCTTGTTAATGAGGTTGGGGAGAGTTTTCATACTAAGGACAGTCATTCTTTTTTTTTTTTTTTGTATTCCAAGATCTTGAAATTATAGAAACCAGGGAGATGAATCAAGATATCAATTCTAACAGGCTCTTTTATCACCATTTTGTGGCCATGCTATTCAAGTGAACAGACTGTGGTCCTGATGAGGGCATAGTTCCAGGTGTGGTGCCTTCAGGTTAGCGGGCATGTTTCTATCAGATGGCTGCAGACTCCCAGATGAACCTCACTGGGCTCTCCTAACTGCTTTTACTCACACTCCCACACCAAATGGGTAGGTTTTATTCCCCATACCAACCAATTCTCCAGCTTTCCGGACATCAACTGGGCATCCTACAATTCAATTTAATCTGACTCTAGCTTATCAGAGTTAACACAGATCCCACAGATTAAGGGCTCAGTCTCATGAGACTGTCCCCGTGCTAGTCACAAGTCTCAGATTGCCATCTGGACCCCTGGTCAACTGGCTATAAATGATGGTTTCCCACCACTCCCTCCTCAGGTTTGATAATTTGCCAGAATAATTCACAAAATGAAGGGAAATAGTGCTTATGTTTACCTTTTAGTAGAAAAGATATTGTGAAAGCTACAATGAACAGCCAAATAAAGAGGTACATACGGTGAAACCCAGAAGGGTTTGCATGAAAGAGCTTCGGTCCTGTGAAGTTGGGGTGCACTACTCTCCCAGAGCATGCATGCATTTCCAACCCCTGTTGTTCAGGGTTTTTCTGGAGGTTGCCTTAAATAGGCTTGACTAGTTAAATTGTTGGCCACTGGCGATTAAACTCAATCTCCAGCCCTTCTACCCTCCCTGGTAGTTGGGGGATGGGACTGAAAGTTCTAAGTTTCTAACTAAGGCTTGATCTTTCTGGTGAACAACCCCAATCCTGAAGCCAGTTAGGGCCCCCCAGAATCAGACATCTCAACGACATGCAAAAGATACTCTTATCATTCTGGAGATTCCAAGGGGTTTAGGAGCTGTGTGCCGGGAACCGAGGACAAATAGCAAATATTTATTTTTTTTATTATATCACAGCCTCAGGGACAAGGTGAAGGGACAAGGGGAAGTGGTGCTGAAGTGGGAAGTCACTTGGGGAAAGATGCCATCTGCCGCTGAACACAAGGTTGCAGGCTAGGCTACGGCGTTAGGCTAGGGTTGTCACTTTCATGTCCTCACCCTCAAAAAATAAAAACAATAAAAATGAGTATCTAGCATCTGCTATGTGCCAAGCATTTTCTTGAGTGATGTGATGTCAACTGGGCACCATTCAAACCACCGAGGAGCTCATGATATTGGAGGAAATGGCATGTAAGCAACTGTACCTAACACATTGTGGAAAGCCATAGTCAGAGGCTTGCAAAAATGCTGTGGGGACACAGAGGAGAGAGCAATTAATTACACCAGGAGGTCCGTGTAAGTTCCCACAGGAGACACAACATTTGCAACTGGGCTGTGAAAGATGAGAAGGATATTATCGAGCAGAGATGAAGAAAGTATATTCTAGGTAGAGGATACAACACATGCAAAGACAATGAGTTATAGATGTTTATTCAGGAAACGGTGAACTTACCAGCATGGTTATAGCAAAAGGTGTCTAACCAGGAGCTATCATAATGGTCAACATTAATCAAGCATGTATTATATGCTGGGGACTTTTTAATGCATCTGACTTATTTCATCCTAAAAACAATCCCATGAGGTACTTACTAATACTATCTCCATTTTTTCGAGAAAGACATAGAGGCTTCAAGACGTTAAAGATATTTCTTAAGGTTACCGTAACCTATGGCCTAGAACCAGAATTAGAGAGCAAACAGGCGGACTGTGGCTGACGAGGAAGACAAAGGGTACAGGACTTTCTATCTCACACCACAGGTTTATTCTTAATCTTTGTCCCTCCCAGAATCCTGATGCAGGTATACAGCATGATCCAATTGGATGAAGGAAGAATAGTCTTGAATTTTCTATTTGTTTTTGTGTCATCTTTTTATGATTATATTTCATGTGTTGCATCATGTCCCCACTATGTTAATACATTAGAACATGTGTATAATTTATAAATACATAGGTATACGTATATTGGGGTTTTTACTGAAACGTTTATTCCTGGAAGAACTGCAAATCAAACAGGTTTTAAAAGAAATGGTCTAGACCAGTCATTTCCAAGTGTGGTTTCCTGACCTGCAGCATCACCAAGGAACTGGCTAGAAATGCAAGTTCCCAGGTCCCCCAACAGACTGACTGGCTCAGGTACTCTGGCAGTGAAGCCCAGGAATTTGTGTTTCAACCAATCATCCAGGTGAGGCTCATTGGTCTAGGCAATATAACTTTTAAGGTGGAAAGTGAGATGGCTTAATTTGAGTTCTCGAAAGTTAATTCTAGTTGGATTGGCAAAAAATGAGATACTAGAAACCAGGAGGTCCTTTGAAAGGTCGTGGTGATGGTCATGGCAAGAATCAAGCAGGGTCTGAGTCAAGTAAGAGAAACGGATTTTGGAAATGTTTAAAGGGACAAATTCAATGTGACTGAATTTGCAGGGGAGGGAGAGGCAGGTAAATCTATATATGGCACCAAAGATTCCAAGGCACAGAATTGCTGCCATCACATGTGCCTAGGGGTTAGTGTGAGGTGCAGTGTATGACGTCAGGGATTGCTAATGAATGATCCTGTTGAATTGGAAGTACGTGAAGGATATTCAAGGTGAGGAGGCAGTTGGAAATTTAGACTTTCAAACTCAGAAGAGACATAAGATTTGAAAATACACATTGGAGAGAGAACAGCACCTATGTAGCAATAGGAACATTGGTCATGGATAACATGAGGAAGTTCTCTCTTTTTTATAACGAAGAATGTGGCAGAATCATCTGTGATGAATGAGGGGGCCAGAAGTGAAATAGGGGCCTAAGACAGGAGCTGATATTCGGAGCAACTAACATGGGAAACGGGAAGAGGAAGCGAAGCGTGAGAGAAAACTAAGGTATTGGCACGTTGACCTCTGAGACCACATTGGGCCCACGGCAGGTGCTCAACATGTGCTGACTGGCTGGAAAGTCATGTGAGCTAAGAGCTGCAGTGTGGGCTAAAAATTAGGGAGTTTTAACCTTTTGGTGCCAGAGACTCTTTTGGTAGTCTAGAGAAGCCTATAGCTCCTTTCTCATAATAATGTTTTAAAATACATAAATTAAAACACATAACACTTCAGATAAAGTATTATCAAAATATCAAAAGCAAACTCATGATATAGTAGGGTATATATTATAGTAACATATATATCTTTATCAATGTGTTAAATAATGATTTTGTCAGTGGGATTAATGACCCCAAGTTCAAAGTCGTGATGTGTGTACATGATAGTTTGAGATGTGTGCAACAACTCTTATGTGATATGAAAATATTGGTGATTTCTTCTGGTGATAAAAGTCACAGGTACTGCTAAAATTTTTTGTTTGTTACCTGCATTCATAATTGAAGTTATTGCTAAATTCAGTTAGAGGTTACGGAAATGAATAATTTTTGCCCATGAAAGCACAAGGATCCCCTCTTTGTTCTGTCCATGGGCTCCTTGAGGGTACATGGACTCTGAGTTAAAGTCTCCTGTGCTCAATGAATAGACAGAAGTGCATGCATTGCTCACAGGTAGTCACCAGTTTGTTTGCAGATAGGAATTGATCTCCTAGGTCAAGTGTCATATGCCATGCTCAAGGAAAATTTTCTTTGAAAGACTTGGATGTTTTAGATATGATGTAATCTGGGTGCCTTTAGCTAGGCACCATGGAAATTCATTAAGGAGAAGTCACTTTGTCTCTCAAAAAACCATTAATCTTGCTAACATATCTTCATCTGGAAGAGTAGGTAGTGTGTATTGACAATAATTCCCCAGTTTTTTAACTGTACTTCTGGTGATTTAGTCAGAAGTGACATAATTTGTAGTGTTTACTATCTATGCATGATTAGATAAGTAAGGTTATGGCAGTGTAGTAAAAGTAGTTATGTGTTACTTTGCTAATTTTATTAAAATTAGAAGTAATATACAGGTATGATTCAAATCTCACATTTTGCTCATGAAGAAACTAAGACCCAGAAAGAGAAAGAGTCCTTGTTCTGGTTATCTACTGCTGCATAAACAATTTCCCCCAAATTTAGCAGCTTAAATAAAAAATTATTTTATTTTTTTTCCACAATTTTATGAATCAGAAATTCAGGTAAGTCTTAGCAAGGTAATTCTTTTATTCTATGTGGCATTCAACTGGTGATGGGCTGGTCCAGAGGGTCCAAGAGCGCTTCCTACTATGTCTGATGCTCAATGCTGATAGCTGGAGAACTGTGTTAAGTTGAAATTCGGTTGTGTTAAGTCAACTGAAGTGTCTATACCTCCAGCATGGTGGTTCATGGCTCCCAGAAAGTGTTGCAAGAGGCCCTGGTGAGTGCTTCAAGGTGTTCTACGATCTAGTCTCAAAAATTCCACATGTCAATTCTGATGCATTCTATCAAACAAGTTGAGAAGGCCAGCTCAGAGGAAAAGGAAGGGATATTAGACACCATCCTTCAAGGGGAGAAGTGACAAAGAAACTGTGACCATCTTTGGCCTATCACAGTCCATCTTTTGGCCAAAACCCATTTATATTTCCCCAAATGCAAATACATTTCCCACCTCTGAAGACCCTCAAAATTCTCATCCCTTCCTAGCATCAGATTCAAGCTGCAGTTTAGGATCTTGTTCTATAAATAAGTCCAAAAGCTAATAAGACTCCTCAGGAGTGGTTCTTTAAGTGGATTCCTCTTTTTTTTTTTTTTAATTGGGGAACAGTGTGTTTTTCC